AGTGGAAAAAATAATTTTCATAAAAGTGATATTCCTGATATGCAATGTGTAAATGAATAAAATTGATGATCCCTTCATGTAATGTAAATTAATTTGATGAAAATAAAATTCTGAGATATTGTAGTATAGACAAGTCTGACATTATTTATTATGTATTTTTTAGACTCAATTTAAAAAATAGAATTGATTTGATAGATCTAATAGTTTTGATGTTATAAATATTTTATGAGTGAAAGGTAATTCAAAAATTTTATATTTCATACATTAAACCATCATTTCTTCTACAGAATTATTTCAAAGGACTATGTTTTTGAATTAAGCTTAAAAAATAAATTTGAAGAAATGCCTTACTTGATTAGATAGCAATGTCAGTTGCATAAAGTGGTATAAGTCATAAAATTGTCCTTTCTACACATTAAACTTTTTATAAATTTTCGAATTGTTAAACTATTAAATCAGACAGCTTGTTTTTATTCTCATTCGATTTAGTGTTTACATAGATAATGATACCGCACTTGCCTAGCTAGCATGTTACATAGTAAATATATATAAATAAACTATGCTTTTACAGGGTGCGGAGCCAAATCTTTCAACAAAAAATAAGCAACTTTTAAGAACATTTTAGGCACTCAAAAAATATTTTTAAGCACTATGTAAATTGACAAAATGCAAAATAAATCTCAGACTTCACATGATCATGATAAAATAACTAGAATTTGACAAAGAACTCTTTTCTTGATTATATTAGCCATTAAAAAATGATAAAGAGATTTTTCAGTTCGATTTCAGAGAGTGGAAAATGAAGCTTGAAATTGAGAATATCTTGCAAAATGCAGCAGAGTTACACATGAAAGTGCAAGAATCTCACCGAACCCAGCTCACTGTGGTCTCGCAAGTATTTCCCCAAACCTGTAAAATGATTGGAACATTCATACGCTATGGACTGACGGTATGCTGAAATTGATCGTGGTTGAATGAATTCTGAAAACATTGAATAGAAAAATATGAAAAGCATGTTTTTACATAATGCATGGCGAAAATCGACATTCCCTTTCATAAATCTTATTTTCGAAAAGGGAAAATTAAGCACTTTTTAAAAACACCCAATAAAAAAAGCACCTTTAAGCACTTTTTAAAAACGCAATGCATCATACAAAACAGAAAATTGGGCGAGTCTGGATATCAGGTAACAGGATTTTCTAACCAAGTCCAGGTAATGAAAAACCTGACCATTAGGCATTCAGTCAGCTCTAGTTTGAATAGCTAGCTATAATTTAATAAATGTTACAAGAGCTCAATACATAATTTTAAATTTTACTTCATAGTAATTATTTCGAATTACATTTATTAAAAATCAAAGAAATATAATTCAGAGTCACAATACAACATGCTGCAGTTTTTATAACATTGTTAAATTAACTTTCTCTTTTTTCAATATTGCTCTTTTTTCAATATTGCAACATTCAACTTTAATCATTGACTAAAAAAAAACTACTGTTACCATTGAAAAATTACAAGGATGTTCAGCTAAAGGTTTTTGATTAAATGCTGTCCGAATTTCTTTTTGGCGCATACGCTGTTTTTCAGCTTTCTTCCTTTGTCCAGTTTTCTTTTTAGGCATGATGATCACACACAATAGCTAGAATAGAGAATGCAACATAGGAATTTGCTAAAATACATTAAATTTAATGTTAAAAACACGCAAATAACACTTATAGAAAAATTTAAAAATTCAATCCTTGACAATTTAGAATGCAAGCTTAATTTGATTTTTGAGTCTATTTAGCACATAATCGCAAACAACTGAGGCTATACTTGGGAGAAGTTGGACTTTCCTTGCCCTTATTACAAGCAGGGAAGAAAAATTTCTGAATATATTTTGTAAAACAAGGAATGCTCTTCAATATTTTTTAAAATAAAGTTTAATTAGAAAACTAATTAAACTTTAAAATTGCTAAGTAATAAATTTTTTTACCATTGAGTATTTCCTCACTGAATAGGAAGTGCAAAAAACCCACAACAAAAATCTGCTAAAGGTGTTGCATGTCTGAGAACAAGCACTCTTTCTGGAGAGCAAAAACATAAATTTTTTAAAAAGAAATGTTTTTTTTATAAAAAGCATCGCTTCTTAAAAACATTAAAAAAACAAACAAACATCCATAGCCAGTGTTAAATTTGCGAAGGCACATTCCTAAATAGTAACGCGTAATGTTTCTAGATTGTAATGCCAGAGAGCGAGTACTTGACAGAAAGTAAAAGTAAAATTAAAAACTCAGACGACTATGGAGGAGCATTTTAGAAATGTCTGCTGGTCAGAAACTAGCTTGCTTTCCTTTGAATGCAAGGCACATATCCTTTTACAAAATTTGAAAGCAGATCACAAACTTTTTCTTTGACATAAACATGTGAGGCATAGTTCAATAAATGAATAAAGTATATTACGTTTCAATAAAAAAGCATTGTTAGATATTAATTTGGATAAAACGCTCCCAAAAATCTAGACATCAAAGACGATGATCTACATCCTAATATCAATGTTGGTATAAACGATGGAAATAACGTCGATATACCACAAGAATAACCTAGTTTAGAAGATGTGCGAAGTATTAAAGGTTTTTTTCTTTTCATTTTCAGTTTCATGAACATTTTCTCTTTTTGTTCTGTTTTGCAATCTCATATATTCATATCTGTTTCATGTAGAATAAAATTTTCTGAAATGTTACTTAATCATATTATTGTCTGTAATAGTTTAGTTTCTATTAAATTCCAATTAAGTTTATAATTGTGTGTAGTTAATTAAATGCGGACAGTTAATTAGATCCATACATTGTCATATGGTATTACACATTTCACTTTAAATGAACTGTTTAGAACAGTTATGTTATCTAGATCGGAGATAAAAACGTAAAATCTGCTGAACATTTTCACTCATTTACATATTTGTTGCATTATTTAAGTAACTGTTATGTATGGGGGCATAAACTTGCACTAGAATATTACTATTGCTCAAAAAAAAATTAATAAAACAAAAACTAAACAATATTGTAAAATGTGCCTGATGAAAAGGAATCAAATAAAATAGAATTCAGAAAAAATTACTAGGGTATTTCAAAGTTATAAGATCGGCATTAAGTAGAAGAAAGTAAATCTCACATAATAATATATAAAGATTTTATAGTTAATAAATAAATACACACACATATATAAATATATTCATAGATAATATTTATATTGTAGGTTCAAATGTTTGACAATATTCAAATATTTGACATGAATAAATTAAAACTTTTCCCGTAAAACATATATTTATAATAAAAATAAAATTGTATTTGAATACTTTTGAATAATAGATACAATACAAACACATTATAAATGTATACCAGTAATGCTAAACATCTGAATAAGTTTAAATTCAAGTGAACATTGTTAATCATACATATAGTATTACAAATTTTCAATCATCCAACAGTTAATATTTCATATTTTTCTAAAAACTAATATTTTGTTCTAATTCATATGTATATGTATATATATATATACACATGACATTTCATCATTTCTTTCATCATTTTAATTTTAATGCATGTAATATTTTGGTGGAATTTTCATAATCAAGCAATATTTTGGATCTTAAAATACTTTATTAAATTAACTGTTTAATAAACATCGAAACACCTAGTTCGATGAGTTTTTTTTAAAGCTGTTATCAGGTCGATGAGTTTTTTTTAGTTGTTTAAGTTGTTATATACTTGAAATTATGGCATACGTGATATAATTCCGAACGTAAGTAAGAATTAAAAATTAAAGGATAACAACAAGGAATTATCATAATAAATTTTCCCAAAAAATTAAACTAAACGAACAAGAAACTCGAGATACAATCGCTTATTATCGCTCATACATCTGAAACTTCATTTGAAAACATGAAATTATGGCTTGTAAGATTTATTTACCTATAACACTAAAAAACTTGATCTTCGGAAATAAACAAGCTCAATTTGTTTTTAAAGACTTAAGGAAAAGCTGTAATTATATTTTGTAAGCATATCAGTAATACAATCATTAGAAATTTCAAAATAGCTGGCTAATATAAAACCAAGAAAAATAAATATTTATTTACCTAGAGTACAAATAACGCAAATAGCAAACGATTCGGGGACTAACAAATATAGATAGACCGGAACCGGAAATCACATGAACTAATCAGCGCCATCTGATGGTATTAAAAAGAAATTATTGGAGTTCACACACATTCACATTTCTGACATTGTGCTTGGTGTGTGAAGATGTGTGTACGGAAAATCGCCTCTTACTAGAATAAACGGATAAATGTGAATCACTACTATGTGTGTTATTTATTATAGGTGGTCTAAGCTTGCTTTGTGATTATTTCCATCTATGTTTACTTCTTAGGCTACTTAGATTTTGGAGAAGTATTTAAATCGCATGCCCAGCAGGGTCTTATAATACATGATCATGGGTCTCCTACCCCTGGAATTTACGGACTGCCTTACTAATAGTCCTTATTTTCGTGAAAATCTTCACGCCCATGAGAAAGAATTAGAAAGAACAAGTCAGTCTATTAAAGTATTGATTAAAGAAGTTAAGGATTTGCTCTCTGCCGCCAAACGTAAGTCTAAATTATGTTTGAAATTTAATAACTTTGTATGTTGCAATTAATTATGGGAATCTGTCGAGTTTGACAGGTAATGCAATATAGGTTTGTAGGTTGAAAAACTGTTTATTATTTTGATTAAGATAGTCAGTGAAGATTGATGCGGTATTATTATGATATTTTAAATATCGTTATTTATTAAAATTATTTATTTCCAGTTTTATAGTTAGCTAATTTTTTGTTCACAAATTAGTGGTGGATGTATTTATTACATGCCTAATATATTACGAAAAAAAAAAGGAAAATTAATAAATAAACTCACTAAATTTAATTGAAGCAATGTATTCAAATTTTTATTTCGTAACATGTTTTGTATAATGTTATTATTCAATTCATATTGAAATAGTATCGTATTTGCTAATTCGTAGCTTATACCGGCGAATTATAATTTATATTTCAATTGGTCAAGTTTTGCTCTGTTTTAGTTACTCCCTCCAATAATTAAGGAAGAAATTCTAATATTGATTTTGTACTAAAATAATTTTATGAATAAAAATTATTATATTTGGTAGCAGATCAAATTGCTGGTAGAGAAAAACAAAATTAATATTTGTATTCTACAATATGCTCCTATTAACATGCTTCCATATTGATAGTTAAATAATACAAAAACGTTTTAATAAGTAATAATAATGATTTAATAGTTCTTTATGTAATGGTTTTTTTTAATTTTTCTTTTTTTGAAAGTTAAATTCTAATTTTTGTGAATTATTATATTTTACTTGTCAGTGCACATTTATTTGAATTTAATGTTAGTTAATTTTAGTTGATAATTGGGTGATATCTTATTTAGCCTACTTTTTAAAATTAATGATGTTTATGAATTACAAGGTATCTAGATATAATATCAATTGCAAGGAATTATTTACAAATTAAATATCAAAATAATTTAATTTTCAAATAAAATGAGAGTTTTTATGCTATTGTCAGAAATCAAGATATGTGTGCTAAAAACTTAGAATTTCTGAGTCTTAAAAAACTTCTATTTGTGAAATATGAGTTAAAAAAAATTTTTTTTTTAATAGTACATAGTTGTGAGAATTAAAATCATAATCTCCATAGAATATAATTCAATTACATTTATATCAATTGATTTCTACTAGTTGTATTGATTGATATTTATAATAATAATAATAATTTTTATCTTATTCAAAATTTTTTAAATAATAATAAATTTATTTCGTTATGAATTAATGTCTTATATTTAATTTACAAAATAGTAATTTATTTTAAAATTTTTTTTATTTTAATGATGACATTAAGATTTTTTAAGCATAGATTGCTGTGCATTTAAGACAAAGTATTAATATTTAACTTCCTTACTATAATTATTTGCAATTTTATTATTACTTTTCTGCTAACAAAAGAATTTTCCAATTCTTAATTAATGGGAAGATATTACAGAAATTTTCTCCCATGTTATTTAGTAAAAATTCATTACTGAAATTTTCTCCTGTGCCATTTAAGGGGAAGGTATTACAGACATTTTCTCCCATGTTGTTTAATGGGAAGGTATTACAGAAATTTTCTCCCATGCAATTTATGGGAAGGCATAGAAATTCCACTCCCCTCATGTTATTCAATAGGAAGGTGGAGGGAAGGTATTACAAAAATCTCCCCATGTCATTTGATGGTTAAATTTTCATAGGTACTTGCCCAGAAGTAAATTGTAAAGTTGCTAACTGCATATAATGAAAAGTTTACTAAAGCGTGTAGGTTTAAATATGGGCAAACTTTATTTTTTGCAAGCTTCATTATCAATAATGTAAATTTTAGTTGATAAGGATATTGTTTTTCAAGCAGTTTAACAAAATGGATTGGAGGAGATAAATTTTTTATTTCACTTTATTTATAATTTTTTTTTTTGTATTTTTCGGGGTAATCAGTTTGCGCTTGTTCCATTATGATTTAATAAATGAAGCTTTTACAATTTAATGCTACTATCAATTAAAAGTTACAGATTAAAAGTTCTTAATCTTTTTAAAATTTTTTTAAAGTTAAAATGGTGTACAAGCAGCAACAATTTAAAAAAACAAAAATTTAAACTTTGCTAATTGTAGTTAAAAATTAATATAATTTTTGTGAGTTATCAAACTAATGACTTTATATTTTTGTGGGTCATGGTTCATGTGATAATGAGTATGAATTTTCGATATGCAAATAATGTATTAAATCAAAACTAAGATTTTGCAAACTAATGCATCTAAATTTTTGACTGCTTGTTCTTTTTTCAATGACTCAAGAATTTTGCTTTTTATTTTCCAAAAATAGAAATCTTTCTGCGGGTACTGATTAAAATTGCTATTCTTTAAAGTCTTGTTTTTTTTCTTCATCATTTAAGTAGATGAAATTCTTATTTTTCCGATATTATCTTAAAATTATTTTAATAGTTAAATTAGATCATAGATTAAAATTAGATCAACACATTTCATTGATTAAATCAATAATTTTATTTTCTTAAAGCTATTATTTTTGTGGTTTTTAAGGACATAGATTTAAAAAAAAAAAAAAATCATGATCAAATTTGGCTCTGCTTATTATTTATTCATTTTTGCCACATTTTATAAATTTAGTGCAAAAGAAGTAAAATAATCTATCAGTTATCATTCACCTCGCGTTAACACTCAATAGATTCATTTATTAATATACAAGATAACAATAATTGGAGTACCTGCAAAAAGAGTTCTATTTTCGGAAAATAAAAAGCAGAACTCTTCTAAATGTAGACGCTCGATAATACCACGTTGTAAATCGAATTTTTTTTTTTTGCAATTCCCTAATCGCGTTACAGAAAGGAATGGATTCTTTCTATTCAGTCACGACCATCCAGCTATTGATAAATCAATAAATTTCGTATTAAGTCTTTGCACGTTTGTCGTAAAAGCCCCCCTCTATTTTTTGTTGAATGAAATCTCTTCTAGTTGGGTAAAAGACGCCTTTTCTTCAAAGGTATGGAATCTCACGCGATTTCTTACGTCTTTCCCGAGGCATATTTGTACTGCTGTTTTTCTGTTGACAGTTTTTTTTTCTGAGTCTAATGAGCTCTCTTTTTCTTTTCATTCACTGTTACTATTTTGGGTTAATTTTGGCAGTATCAACAATTGCAACGAAAAGTTTTGTTGTTACTACTTAACAAAACTCGGATCTCGCACCATATCAGTGTATGCTATTGCTTTTTATGTATTTTTTCTTTTTATATATATTATCTTTTTTTTTATATATTTTTTCTTTTTATATTTTAGTTAAGTGTCAGTTTTATAATATCGGCTAAGTCAAAGTATGAAACGCTGGAATTCTATTTAATACCATAGGCTCTTTGTAGAATGCCTAGCAATTTTAGGGCAAAGTATGAAAAAGGAGAATTATTTATACAATTTACGTAGGTATTATGAATAATTCTTAGACATTCTATATGTTGTTCTTTAAAATTAACAAGAAGTAAAAAAAAAAGTCCGTCTTTTTCGCAGTCTTTTTGCATTCTGAGCAATTTCATTCTGAGCATTTAAAGCAATTTCTACATTGAAAATGGAAATTTTACTGACATTTGCGCTATTCTAATCGGGTCTGTTTCCCTCTTTACTACTGGTTCTACGATTGTGAGATGCTCTAGTAATCTCACTCCTTTAAGAAAAAATAAAAACAATTATTTTGTCTCTTTATTCTCTTGTTTTTACTTTAAACATCTGTCCCGTAGGTGACTGATCGTAAAGACGCGGGTTCCCAGTAGAACACTGAAGTCAAGCATCGATGACTGCGGTCAGTAAGCGGGTGGGTGATCACTTTTGATCAGCCTGCGTAGTGACCGGTTCGGATCAGCCGACCGGACTGTGCAGGAGTCAGAGAACTGGCCTTGCATCAGAAAGGTTCTCGGTTCGAATCCCGGACAAGGCATGGATGTTCTTTAATTCTATGTACTATCTGTCCTTACTGTGGGAGCAACGTTGGCCCTACTAATATATTGTCCCTGAAAGAGTGTCCAACAAATTTACCCTAGTACGCTTGGATTGACGAATGTCAACCAAGGTGGGCAATGGAAAAAAAATGTCTTCGGATCATCTTCAGGGATGTTTCCCAGACCGTCGCCAATAGACAATTGTACAACCCTAGTGCGACGTAAATAAAGTACCTACGTTAAGCATCTGTAGGGCAGTTCCCTTTTGTTACCTTAAGTACATTTTTTTAGTCTTAAATTTCGTGCAGCATATCTGCATTTAGTTTTTGTACCATTATATTCTACAATACAAAAAAATCTCTAGGGTAGCAAAGAAAATAATCTAATTAAAAGTGTTTTATCTCATTTTGAATTTAGATTTCAAATAGGTTTTTAAGAGAGTCAAATCGACCCAAGAGTAGGCAGTCTAAAAGTTTATCCTTTTTCTAATGTGAACTCAATTCAAGCTCAAATTCCTAATGTGCGCTTGAATAATACAACAGAGGATAGATCAAGTCGTAAAAATCGTTCGAAATCAGATAAAACAGATATCAAATAAATTATGAAAAAGAATTTTATGTTTGATTTTTCTTTGTCCGAATTCGAGTTCATTTCGTGACACAAATAATATATTATTATTACCTATTATGTAACTTTAAGGGAATGTCAAAATTTCACGGTTAAAATTTAGTAGCTGTCGTACCGATCGTTGCTCTCATGGCGGAATGTTACTAAGAGAATTGCGCCAAGTCACTCTTTGAAGAACACTCAAGAATTGCCTGAAACTTTTCCTGGAATCTAAGGAAAAGAATAGTTGAAATAAAATAAATTGTAAGCCCTTAGCTTGATTATTATTAGATGAAACACCCCTTAGTTTTGATAATGAATTTTTCTTGACATTCTGTAAGTCCGTTAAGGCTAAAAAATTGAAAAATACGATTAAAATTTTAAAAAGATTTCTCCTTGCTTCAAATTTTTTTTTTAAAAAGCTGTAGCAGAAAAAATTGGAAGTTAATATTATTTT